GTATCGGGATGTACCATGGCAGAGAGTGCGGGGGTATCGGGATGCACCATGGCAGAGTGTGCGGGGGTATTGGGATGCACCATGGCAGAGTGTGCGGGGGTATTGGGATGTACCATGGCAGAGTGCGGGGGTATCGGGATGTACCATGGCAGAGAGTGCGGGGGTATCGGGATGCACCATGGCAGAGTGTGCGGGGGTATTGGGATGCACCATGGCAGAGTGTGCGGGGGTATTGGGATGTACCATGGCAGAGTGCGGGGGTATCGGGATGTACCATGGCAGAGAGTGCGGGGGTATCGGAATGCACCATGGCAGAGAGTGCGGGGGTATTGGGATGTACCATGGCAGAGAGTGCGGGGGTATCGGAATGCACCATGGCAGAGAGTGCGGGGGTATTGGAATGTACCATGGCAGAGAGTGCGGGGGTATTGGAATGTACCATGGCAGAGAGTGCGGGGGTATTGGAATGTACCATGTGTAGTCAGGTGGGGGTGTAGATTATTTTGGAGATGAGAGCCTGTGATAACATTACAGGGACTGTTACTGAAGTAGTTTTGGTGTATGAATCTTGCTCTGCGATTTAATTCCTAAATGGCCGAGAATTGAGCAGTGAGACTGCAGGGGTACGATTTATATAGTCTATACACTATTACTGCTTCATCGAGCTAAAGTTGTTTTGGTGACTAAAGTGTCCCTTTAAATATGTCTTTATGTTTTGGGAGTCCACATTAAACGGTTTATTGCAGGTAAAATAGTTGAAGGCAATATTTTCATAATTAAAAATGAAATAAATATCCTTTTAGCGGATGTGTCTCCAGCACTATACAGCATCTCCCTTCCATTTATACAGAAGTAGTTTATAGACGTGGATGAGTTTTAGTATCGGCTGAGCCGAGGTACTCCACTCTCTTTCTAAGGGGAGAATAAAGATATTTCCGAATCTGTTCAGTGCGTGAACTAAACCTGGGTGTTGGAGTGAATAAACTTATGGTTTAATACGATCCATTTCGGATCCTTCATTTAGAATTTCTCCAGGGGTAAATGTCGCAGTGTCCATCTGGTGGACATGGTAGTAAAGATCTTCGCTTACAGTTTTATGGGAAATAGAAAACGCCTTGGGAGTTGTCCGCTTTCTGCTATAGTAGAAATGGTGACCTCTTGCACAACAATACGCTGGGAGAACAGAAAGGAGAAAATCTAACTACCTAAAAAAAAAAAAACTAAAGAGTTTATTAAAAAACAAAGCAAACAAACAACCCTAGCCACTTTACTCCTATAATTATCCCATAGTTTTATTTAAGAAATGTGACTATTTGTGTACCATTCATGTAATTGTTGCAGTGTCTCTCGTTTGTGTTATTGCTAGGTGACGAGTGTTTCTCACGGTACACACGATGCGGTGGTCATTCTGGAGAGATTTCCATTCCAAGCAGAAACGGTTTCCAGTCTGCTTACCAACCAGCCAGAGCTGAAGCTACAGTTGAAGAATGACATTTATAGTGTTTATCATTTGAACCCCCCTCCAGAATTAAATGGTGAGCACCTACAGCTAAACTGCTATTGGAGCCACGCCGGCCATAGACATCGCTGTGAATAGCGCTTTAACTGGACACATACTGTCGGCCCTGTTTGACATAGTTTTCCAATAACGATGAGTTTCAGTCATGTCTTTGGCTAAACATGTGCCAAGCAGTTGTGTGATGACCTAATATTGTGTATTAGATGGTTTTACTCAGAAATCAAACATTGTAAAATTTACCTTTTGCACACATTTGTAGACATGCAATTTTAAAGGAACACTATAGTCCCCTAAATTATTTTAGCTAAATAAAGCAGTTTTTTTTTTGACATTCTTTATTTCAATTTTGTTTCATTCTTCCAAGTTACAATCATGCATTAATGTGTTTAAACATGAATAGACAATATGTATCGGCTTTCATCAAGGTAAACAGTATACTTGAACACAACTGGATATTAATCGCATCTAAAATGTGCATTTAGTAACCTTTATGTGGCATATCTTGCGTCGAGAAGCCAATATGTGTAGAACTGCGCGTCCAACCAGCTCATATTGTGAGCTTTCTGGGAATTTAAATTAAACTAGCTCGGGCTGTAGTCAGGTGCATGAAACAATCCGTGATCCTGGTAAGTGGGCGTATGTTCAAGACTTGAGTTACTGTCTAGTGCCAGGCAGGTATGTCTATATACAGCAGGTGTACCTATCATCAGCCTGCACTGCAGCATGTTACCGCCTCTCGTTGTGGCCTTGTGTCCAGCTTTCCTTTTCCCTCTTCCCCGTGTCACCCTCCCCCGCCCCTCTCCACTCCCTTTCCACTTGTGTAGTTATATTTCCCTCTGTGAGTCGCGTGTAGTGCACTTATCAGGTTGGTAGTCGTATGTCTTGTGATAGTAGAGCTAGCTCCGTGTTTACGAGCCTCCCAGTTGTAGGGTTCGGGTAGATACGTGTGTATTATGACCTATCGGCCCGGGGCTATGTTTTATGGGACGTTGATTTGTGCGTAACTGTAGGTTGCTGCCTCCGTCCCTAGTAGGTTCGTGTGGGGAGTCCTTCCCATGGTGTTCTCTTGGTAAGGTGGTGGGAGGCCTAGGAGTCGTATCCCCACCTCCCCCTCAGTCTTTCTGTCCGGCTAGTCCCCACTAGTCTGATGTTTAGGTATGCGTGCTCTGGCCGTTGGTAGGGAGCGTGGAGGATGCGCGGGGGACGTTGGGGGCAAGTAGCTAGGCATTACCTATCTTAATGTATTGTGTACGTCCTCCGCCTTCATGTGTTGGGGTGTCTCTCTCCCCCCTCCCTCTTCTACCCAATCTATCTTTCTATGTTCCCTTCAGTTTCGGGGGTTAGTTTACCGTTGTTGGTGCCAGTTGCATCTCAGACCTTGGGGATCTCGGCGGGCTCAGATTGCGTTGGTGTTGTCTGTGCGCACCGTGAGTCTCTTTCTGTCCATCCTATTGTATGTATCAGCTTTTGTGTTTCGGGATACTTCCTGTCCTTGCTTTATTTGTCCATGCCTAGTTTCTGTCGGGGGTGGAGGGTCTGGGGTTGGGATAGGGTCGGGATGGGTTGTGAGTTATGTCCATTCTTGTGGGTTTTAATCGGTCATACTGGCTCCGGAGGGGGCGAGGTCCCCAGCCGGGGGTGTATGTGCCACCGCAGCGGCCCCCCCCCTCCTCCCCGCATCTGCTCCAGCTGCCACCTTGGATACATAGTCCATCCACGGGAACCAAGTCAGGGAACATTTTTCCGCGCGACCCTGCAGGGAGGCCGTCATCCTTTCCATATTATAGATCTCTTCAACCCTGTCTATCCATTGTTGGTATGTGGGAGCTGTGGGGTTTTTCCACATCGTCGGAATGAGTGTTTTTGCAGCCGTCAACAGGTGTATGACGAGGCCTCTCTTGTATGCTTTCAGGGGTGTGTGGGTGTGATTTAGCAACATTGGCAGTGGCTGGAAAGGTATCTCTGTTCCCGTAATTTCTTTTATCAATCGGTGGACCATTCGCCAGAAGGGTATGATGTGCGTGCACTTCCACCAAATGTGTATTCCGGTGCCTAATTCTGTGCCGCACCGCCAGCATTCGCCTGGGACCGAGACGTGGATGTGCCGTAGCACATCAGGGGTCCGGTACCAGTGTGTCAAAATTTTGTAATTACATTCTTGGAATTTAGTGCTTATGGATCCCTTGTGTGTGAGTTGGAATATTTTATCCCATTCGCTATCTGTGAGTATGACATCTGCGTCTCTTTCCCATCGTGTAGTGAACCCCAGCGGTGGTTTGTTACCGCTGTTTTGGAGCATGGTATACAGGATCGAGACTCCATGTGGGAGGTGGTGTCTGTCTGTGCATAATTGTTCCAGGTAGAGCAGTGGACGGTGCAGGTGTCCCCTGCCTTTCAGAGCGGCAGCGTACGTTTTTATTTGATGGTATCGAAACTCGTCCATTCTAGTTGGTCGGCGGTCTTGTAGTAGATCTCCTATTGTTTTTAGGTTCGGCCCGTCACACCATTGGCTCATGTATACCCAGTCTGTGGCTCCCAAGTTCCTGAGGTCGGCCGGGCTAAGCCCTCCCGCCAGCTTTGGGTTGTTGGTGATAGGTGTAAGCGGGTTGGGGGACGTCGTGAGGTTCCCGTTGTAGCGAACCCTGCACCAGACCTGCAGCGTGGCGTTTATCATTGGGTTGTCCGTGCGTATGTTCTCAAAAGATGTTTCGCCCAGCCACAGTTGGGCGGGGATTTTGCCTAGGGCTTGTTGTTTTTCTATGTGGACCCATTGTTTAGTGGTCGGGTTAGCGTGCCAATCGACCAGTCGATGTATGTGGGTTGCCTGGTAGTATGTGGTGATCGACGGGAGTCCCGTTCCTCCCTGGCTTTTTGGTCGTTCTAAGGTGGACCGTTTCACGCGTGATGGTTTGTGGTTCCAGACGAACTGTCGGATGGTAGTCGTAATTGCTTGAAAGAACCCTCTGGGGATAGATGTTGGTAATGTCTGGAATAGGTATAGAATGCGAGGCATGACATTCATTTTTATCGCGTTTATGCGTCCAAACCAGGAGATGTACTGGGCCGTCCACCGTTTTATATCCAGTTGTAAGGTTGCTAGAAGGGGTGCGAAGTTCAGTTGGTATATGCGCGTCGTGTCCTCGGGTAGCCAGACGCCAAGATATCTCAATTTGGAGGTGCATATTCTGAAGGGGAATTGCGTTTGGATGTGTTGCTGGAGAGTCGCGTCCCTCGTGAGCAGCATTGCCTCGGATTTATCCAGATTTAGCTTGAGGTTGGATACCTCGCTGTAGGTTCGGAATGCGTCCAGGAGGTTCGGTGTCGACACCCTAGGTTGCTCCAGGAAAAATAGCATGTCGTCGGCATAGGCCGCTACTCGATGTTCCTGTCCGCCTATGCTAAATCCCGTGATCCCTCCATGCCGTCTGACCGCTTCGAGGAAGGGTTCGAGGGTGAGGGCGAATAGAAGGGGGGATAGGGGGCATCCTTGCCTTGTGCCATTGCTTATGTCAAATGAGTCGGTCAGGGCTCCATTGACACGTATGCGTGCAGTCGGCGTGGTGTATAGCGCGGCTACCCAGGTTCGCAGCCGTGGACCAAACCCCATGTGACTCAGGGTCGCTGCCATGTAATCCCAGTCTACCCGGTCAAATGCCTTTTCGGCGTCGGTGGATAGAAGCACCATGTCTCGTTTGCCGGCCACTGTTGCGTGTATGATGTTAAGGGCTCGGATGGTATTGTCCCTAGCCTCCCTCCCGGGTATGAACCCGACCTGGTCCGGGTGGATCAGGTCGGGGAGCGTCTGCGCTACTCTGGTGGCCATGGCTTTGGCGAAGAGTTTTATGTCCGCGTTTAGTAGGGAGATTGGACGGTAGCTGGCACAGTTAGTTGGGTCTTTTCCTTCCTTCGGTATGATCACGACCGTTGCCCTCAGGGTGTCCGTAGGGAATCGTCCTCCTTCTTGGAGGGAATTGATTCCGGTGAGGAGTCTAGGAAGGAGAACGTCCTTAAAGGTGCGTATATACGCTATAGGGAGGCCGTCTGGTCCCGGAGCCCTGTGGGGTTTGGATGTTTTCAAGGCTCCCGCTAATTCCTCAATTGTAATGGGTTGTTCTAGGTCGGCCTCTTGTTCAGGCGTCAGTTTACGGGTGGTATGTTCTTCCAAGTATGCAGCTATCCGTGCCTGGTGTTGTGCTACTGTATTTCCCGTTTTGTGCTGTGCTTGGTCGTATAGCGTCCTGTAATATTCTTTGAAAGCCGTTAGGATGCCCTCCGGAAGCCGGGTGATAGCGCCTTCTTTCGTGTGTATCTTGTGGACGTGTCGTGTTCTCCGTTTTTCCTGGAGCATCTTCGCCAACAGCCGTCCACTTTTATTCGAATGTTCGTAGAAGTATCGGGATGTTTTCCTGGCTGTGTGGAGTAGTCCTTGGGTCAATATGTCCCGAAGCTCTCTGCGAGTTTCCGTGAGTCGGAGGTATGTGTTATCATCCAAAGTGGATTTATGGGTTTGCTCAAGCTCAGCTATGCGGCTTGTCAGGTTAGCAATTTGCGTCGTCCTTTGTTTTTTGCGGCGGGTGCAGCTCGTGATAAGGTGTCCACGGATGACACACTTATGCGCTTCCCAGAGAGTCAGTGGCTGTATGTCCGGACTTTCATTTGTCGAGAAGTAGTCATTTAGGGCCTGGTTCATAGCTGTGGTAAATTCCAGGTCGTCCAGCATGGATTCATTAAGTTTCCACTGTCTGTCTCTGGGTTTAAAGAGCGGGGATTGTGTATCGATCAGAACCGGTGCGTGGTCAGAGTGGTCCATGATGCCGATGTCTGCGCTACGTAGTAGGTTAAGATACTCCTGGGCCATGAAAATGTAGTCGATTCGACTATAGTGTCCGTGTACCGCGGAGTAGTGGGTATAGTCTCGGGCGTCTGGGTGGTACGTCCTCCAGCAGTCCACTAGCCCCATCTTGTGCAGGAGTCGTTGCGTGGCTTTCAGGCAGTGTGTGGGGATCGCACTTTGGCCCCTCGAGGTGTCACGTATGGGGTCCAACGGCATGTTTAGATCTCCTGCTGCTATCAGTAGGCCCCCTCTGAACTTCTCCAGTTTGGCTAGCGCCTGGCGCATGAACGTGTGTTGCTTTCTGTTTGGTCCGTATAAGCACGCGAAGGTGTATTCATGGTCTGCGATGGTGCCTCTCAAGAAGAGGAACCTCCCATTCGGGTCTGCTAGAGTTTGTGTAGTTTGGAATGGCACCGAGTGGGCGAATAGAATGGCGACTCCGGCCTTTTTGGTGTCGGGGTGGTTAGCGTAGAAACCCAAAGGGAATCGCCGGTTTTCTAATTTGGGTGCGTCTCCACCTTTGAGATGGGTTTCTTGCAGGAAAACGACGGAGGCCTTAGCACTCCACAGTCGGCGGTGCAAGTGGGCCCGTTTTTCTGGGGAGTTGAGTCCCTGGACGTTGTTAGACCAATACGTCAGCTGGGCCGGGGCAAACGCCCGGGTGGCAGCCATTTTGGGAGGGGGGGGGCCCCGCCCGCAGCGGCACAGGAGGGGCGAGGGGGAAGGCTGTCGTCTAGAGTGCGGGTTTTAGGGGGATAGGGTTATCTGGGGTCAGTAGGACCCGTGAGCGGGGTTAGTTTGGGTGTGACGTCGACCCTGTACCGGATTTTGGGGGTTCTCGGGGGTTGGTTACCTGACCTTCCCTGAGGTTCCGGTATAATTTACAGGAGGGTCTGTCTCAGTGAGGAACAGTGTCGTCTTGACCAATGGGGTGGTTCGGTCTAGTGGTCAATTGTCATCTACTATCTCCTTCGGCTCCCAACCTGTATTGGACTTTCGTATTAGCTATGTCTCTCTGTGTAGTGTTGAAGATGGGGTGCATGGTAGCGGGTCTCTGCTCCCGCATGTCGCTATGGGGCCATTTGTGTGTCTTGTTGTGTGCTGTTAAGGGGGTGCGTCCCTCCCAGTCTCCCCCTTCATTATGCGTGTTCGAGGCTGTCTGAGCGAAACCCTTGCTCATCCATGGCCGTATTTGGGTCGGGGTTCAGCGGTGTTATTGGGAAGAGTTGGTGCATGTGTGCGCGGTGGGTCCGCAAGAGTCAGTGGCGCCGGGCGTGGGGTGTTACCTCCTGTCGGCGCGGTGTCAGACGGGCTGAGTTTGGGTCCGATCGTCCCGGAGTGGTGCCCTTGATGTCTGCCCGTGGCTTGGGTTCCGTTAGGCGGGCCCAAGGATCGCTATTCGGGTCCCAAGTCTCGTCATCTGGGGGCCCCGTTGCCGTCCGTCTTGGAGGGCTTCTCCAGCTTGGGGCATATCGGGGGTGTGCGGCGTCGTGGTAGTGTGTCTGCCTCGTTACTGTCTGGTAAGTGTAGCGTGCGTGGCACGTGGGGGAGCAGGAGTGAATGCGCATGCAGGTCAGGGACGGACTGTGTGCGGGGGGGGGGTCATGCCTGCAGCTGAGTTACTGTCTTTGTTTTGCTACGTTAAAGGCCGAGCAGTCCCTGATCCCCTCAGTCTGTCTTCTGTGTTCGCGTGATGTGTCCCTCATCCCCCCCCTCCACATCTGTCAGCCCGTCCCCCGTGATTCCCGAGTATTGTGCCATTGTCGTGCCCTAGACGTCCGTACATCTCTTTGGTCCACTTATAAACACTCTTAGCCCCTCCCTATGTGATCGCTGATGCACTGGGCCCGGTGTGACGCGCAGGGTATCTCTTCTAGTGCGTATATGTGTCACTCTGATGGGCGCTCTTTGCGGCTACCGTGGGCATTAACTTATCTAGTGGAATATTTACAGCAGTGGGCCCTCCCGTCCACCACTCTAGTTCCCAACATGTGACACCCGTGTCCCTCGTTAACCAAACACCACCACCCACTCCCGGATCCCCCCCTGACCTCCCGGCAACAGTTCGATCTGCTGTCCGTTGTACAGCTATGTTTAGCAACCGTTTGAGGTGGGAATTCGTCCTGTTGAGGGCCTGGTTGCCTTCTTTGGGGAGTTCCACTTTGTCCCATGAGACCCCTCTCCCATGAAATTCCCCCCCTCCCAACCTGGCAGGGAACCCCGCTGTAGGAGCTTGGCTTTTGGTAGGACCGGGTGGTACTATCCTCTATAGCTGACCCCCGGGCTGCCCCGCCACCCCACCTAGACAGGCTCCCCCCTTGCCCCTTGACTAGTGTAGTGGCAGAGTACATACCCTTGGCTGGCCGGAGCGTGGAAAGTCCCGGGCTGGGAGGAATCCGAGGGGGAGAAGGGCCACGGCCGCAGGGTTCCGGTGCCGGAGCGGCTCAGGGGGGGTAGTTCCCGTGGCTGTTTAGGGACGGTGTTGGTTTATTCTTCCGAGTTCTCCGGGCCTCCCCTGCGTTGTGGAGGGGTGGGTCCCGGGCGGAGGTTATGAGCTACTTCTGACGGACCCGTGGCCCGGGCTGGGGGACCCTCCAGGATCCAATTCGGGATCTGTATCATGGGTAGGCCCGCGGCTTGTAGAAAGCGGGGGACGTCGTTCGGCCAGCGGATTATGTGCCAGACATTGCCTGAGCGGGCTTGGAGGCTGAATGGGAACCCCCATTTATACGGAACCCTTCTCTCCTGCAGCATCCGTGTCAGTGGTCTAAGTGCTCGGCGGGCATCCAGGGTAATAGTGGACAGGTCCTGGAAGAGGGAGACCTGGGAGTCCATGTATGTGATCCTTTGCTGCGCCCTCGCTGCTTGCATTATGGCCTCCTTTAGTTGGAAGGATTCTAGGGAGCAGATGATGTCGCGTGGGAGGCCGTCCCTTCTAGGTGCCCGCAGGGCTCTGTGGGCCCTTTCCAGACCGAAGTCACTAGGAGCCTCACTGCCCATGAGGTGTGTGAACAGGCCTGTTAGGACTTCTTGGGGGATTTCTCCCTCAGTTTCTGGGAGGCCTCGGACCCTTATGTTTTTGCGACGACCTCTGTTGTCGAGGTCCTCCACTTGGCGGCGGATGTCCAGGAGAATGTTTCCCTGCCGCCCCGTAGCCAGTTCAGCCGCTTGCATTGTTTGGGTGTGCTGGAGGCGGTCTTCCTCCAAGCTATCTATGCGTTGTTCCAGGGCCGAGAGGTCCCTGCGGACCGCCGTGATCTCCTCCCGGATAACGGCCTTCAATTCCGCGACCATGTCTGACTTATCTTTGCGGGTGAGCATGTTATTAGTTATAGTTGCCAGGTCTGCAGATATTTGGGTCAGCGTAGGGGTCGCCGGAGGAGTCTGGTCCGAGAGCGCCATGCTTGAGGTCGGAGAGGACGGCGTCGGCGTGGCGGGGCCGTCCAGGCCTCGCGGGCCCTGGGATGCCTGTAAGTATTCGTCCATCGGGCCGGGGTTATATTTCGCCGGCGTGACACCGGAGTTACCAGCTGCGTTTGTCCTCTTGCTTTTCCCCATCTTTTTTGGCTGTTTATGGCGCTATTTGCCGGGGTTTACCAGGTTGGGGCCTAGGAGCTTAGGAGTAGTGCGTCTTACTCCATCGGTAGTCAGGACACGCCCGGGGGTTACTTATTTACGAAGGAGACTTAGTGTACTCTCCAGACCCCACTCTTTGGCAGTGGGTGCGGACTCCAATTATAACACAAGAGGGAGAACTTAGTGTACCCCCCAGGACCCAGCCATGAGCGGTAGGTGGGGGCTACTAATAAAATACAAAAAAGCACCAGCCACTGTCCATTAACCCTACCTACATTCACTCACCCTAATAAGTACGGGAATAAGCCTGGGAATATCCCCATGGCTATTCCTGAAAGAAGTGGGACTTGCCTGTCAGAGTGTTCTGATTGGTTGGCTTAGAAGCAAGTTAATCGGTGAGCACTAATGAAAATTTAAAGTTTGGGAATGCCTTTATAAAGGCTTTTCCTGCCCTGAAACTCATTCTGCAAGAAGCCCTTGTGGGCGAAGCTGAAACAATTTTTTGGTCGTGTCAGGTTTCCAATTTTATCATTGGGTTTTTATTTTTATTAGCTGCGTTGCATTTTTCTGGAGTTTATTTTGGCCTTTTATGTGGCTGAAGAAAAGAAGATTTAGAAGACAGAAGACATCTTCATTTTTACAGATATTAGCTTTATTGTCCCCCTCACTATTATAAGGTTGATGGGGGATAAGTTGGATTACTTTATTTTAATTGGTGTGAAGTGGCTAGGAGACCATCAGCCACCGGGAGTGGGACAATGGCACAAATTTTACATGGTGAACAATGATGTGTTCATCTCCTGTTGTATATTTTATTGATAGTCCCCACCCATTGCATATGGAAGGGGGCTGTGGGATACACCAGGTCCCCCAGGTATAAATTTAGTAGCCCCACTTTCCGCCTATGGACAGGTCCTCCTATGTTTAATAACTACGCCCCTCCATTTTTTTAATTTTGGTGTCAAACATATAGGAATAGGATTGCTATCGCTGCTTAGACATCATTAGCGGCTCATCCGCTCAGCATTATCATGTCAAAGAATAGCAGATATGAGATTGTAGGTCCCACAAATGATTGGTAACTGGTTGAAAACAGTATGTTTACAGACACATTCTGAGTGGAGTTGAATTAATGCAAACAGGGTTCCTCTTAGAATATTGGGTCCTGATAACTATGGAGACCTGTGCGGGGGTAGATATAACAATATCCTTCTGGCTGCTATGGTAGTAGAATCTCTGCATTGAGAGCCACACTATAAGATGTTGTGTAGATCCAAAACCATGATCTTATTTTGGCAATGTTTTGACTGGTTTAGACTGTAATTAGTAATTACCAAATTAGTTGCGCTATATTACCATGTATTGATATTGTTCCCAAATAACCTAGAAACCTTTTCTTTGCCTTGCATTCTTCTTTAAACGGTTGCATAATTCTTTGCTTGTATTTGAATAACTTGCCTTCAGTTAATAAAATATTTGCTGTCGACTGAAACATTCTTCTTGTACCACCCAAACCACTTCCTGTGATGCTGGGTTCTTCTGTGAGAAAGATAACATTCTATACCTGTTTGCTAAAGGTGGTGTATCACAAAAGCGCAGACAACGCAACATGTAGACTTCCTGTGAGTATAGATATACATATGACTAATTTACTTTTGAAGCGGTGGCTCAATCTACATACATATACACATTAATTTACTCTTACATTACAAAATTACTGCTTATCAAACGTCACAGCTGGAGGAAAAGTCACGATGTTGTATTTATATAACATTTTCATTTTATTTTAGATCTTGTCTTAATTAACCCTTTTACTATCCAGCTTTTAGAAAATCATATGATATATATATATATATATATATATATATATATATATATATATATATATATATATATATGTCCTATTCCGCATAACACTAAATGACAGAAACCCGGAATCCGTGAGTATTTATTTTCTATTCATGTGTTGAAATGGGTTTACCCTACCAAGATACTGCTGAGTACACTTTCCCCCAACATGTTAAACATTTCTCCTCAGACTTCCTAAACCCAGTTATCTTTTTGGAGGAATTTAATCTCCCAGTATAGACCCAGTAATAACAATCTGTACTGTGTGAATTCAATGTTTTGCAATGACGAATTGTAGTCTATCAGTTTCTGTTAATGATCAGTTTGCTAATTACTGTATCATGTTTACGTTTTGGGCTGAAGAACTGAAAAGGTGAAATTATGAGCTTGCAGACTGACAAACTGGCCTTACCCCAAATTACACTGCAATGATTCATTTACTGGGCTCAGGAGCCTGTTTTACAACCACAAAATAGTTTCAAATACCAGTTTATCTTTTATAGGTAGGAGGCCACCTTCATGAAGACCTGTATAGCTTGTGGTTACATTTTTGGGTAAAAACGCCCAACCCTTGCCGGATTAATTAACTCCTTGCACTTTTAGCTGCATGCCTACAGATTAGCCAAACATTGTGTAGAAGACAATTGTTTTATTTTGTCAAATGCCCATATCATTGTGTAAAAGAAAACTAACTGTTTGGAGATCTGATAGCTGCAAGTGAATCCTTTCTTGTCTTCACAGGTAGAAGATCTGTACCTCATCGCTATTTGCCATCCCCGTGGCATCAAGTCTCTGCGGGATCTCACTTCCGATCATCTTCCATTGTTAAGAAACATTTTGCGTGAGGGACAGGTGAGCTTCCCTGTTTGTCATATGTCTGCCTCCAGAATATTGTTTGCTCTTTCCTGAAATACAGTTTGTCAAAGGGCAGACATTCCACATACATTATGAAATGTGTGTTGGGAATCTGTAATAACAGACAGATTTAGTGGTAGACACAAGGCAGACAAACATCACTGATTGCTGGGTAAATAAACTTGTCAGCCTAGCTTTGTAACAATTACTGCAACCATAGTGCTTTGATGGCGTGAGAGAGACTTTCCCCCATCATATGAAAATATATTGAAGTGGCCTCTAGCTTACAGAGCATCATGGGACCTAGTTTCTACCATCGGTTTAATATTATATTCTGCATAGACCAATTTCCTACCTTTTTCATGATCAGCTATTCATATTTCCACAAATAAACATTTTATGAAGTAGATTTATTTTTTATCTTCATGGATTGTGGGATGTTCAGTAATAACAATATTTAAAGGAACACTATAGGATCAGGAACACAAACATGTGTTCCTGCCCCTATAGGGTAAAACCACCATCTAGCCCCTCCCCCCCTTCCCTCCCTAAATATAGTAAAATCTTACTTGCACTCAAGTCTGCAGCTGCTGCCTCAGATCTGTCTGCTGACATCATCAGAAGTGGTGGTGGTGTGAACCAATCACAATGCTTCCCCACAGGATTGGCTGAGACTGTCAAGGAGGCAGATCGGGTTAGAGCCAGCACAAGCCAAACACAGCCCTGGCCAATCCGCTTCTCCTCATAGGGATACATTGAATCAGTGCATCTCTATGAAAGTAGTTCAGTGTCTGCATGCAGAGGGTGGAGACACTGAATGGCATGTGTAGCACTGCCCCAGGAAGTACATCTAGTAGCCATCTGAGGAGTGGCCAGTGGAGGTATCCCTAGGCTATAATGTAAACACTGCATTTTCTCTGAAAATCTAGTGTTTACTACAAAAATCTAAAGGGAATGATACTATGCACCAGAACAAATACAATAAGCTGTAGTTATTCTGGTGATTATAGTGTCCCTTTAAATAGTGCAATCGGTAAACCAACTATAAGGCATGGAAAAATGTAATTCCTAGATAACGTTAATGATGTACGTTAACTTTTTTTTATTAGATTAGTAAACCAGCAGTACCATTGTTAAGGCCGAGAAAACTTAAAGAACAAATTACTCTACCTAATTTGGTACATCACCAAGATACCAGCGACAATGCACCGGTCAGGGGCAACAGTTTTTCCCAACAGTGAGAGAATTTAACAGGGCACCAAACTATCCGCAGCATTGAGGACCATCTGTAAAACACAACTCCCATGGCCTTAATGTCTGTAAAGCATCATGGTATCTGTACACTTGTTTTACCTTTTAGACTCCTCTTGGTAAACGTCATGGAACTAAGCCTAGTGACACCATACCTACTGTCAAAAAAGGGGAATCAGTTTTAATTATTTTGTGAAGCACGAGACTGCTTTTTCCTCTTTTGTCCATTTATTTAAAAGCATTTTTCAACATCCGTTTAAAGTGAAACTCTGACTTTCCAGAATCTTTAATGCTATGTATACTTATCCTTTTACTTAATAGATCAATAAATTTGTGATGTGTGAAAAATACATTTATTGTACAAAATCCTCCAACGTAGCTCCTTGTCAGTCATTGTTATAAGCTCCGCCCTTTACACCTGGCAGTCAGTATAGAGAGAGCCACCTCCATCTTAGCTCCCTGTCAGTCATTGTTATAAGCTCTGCCCTTTACACCTGGCAGTCAGTATAGAGAGAGCCACCTCCATCTTAGCTCCCTGTCAATCATTGTTATAAGCTCCGCCCTTTACACCTGGCAGTCAGTATAGAGAGAGCCGCCTCCATCTTAGCTCCCTGTCAATCATTGTTATAAGCTCCACCCTTTACACCTGGCAGTCAGTATAGAGAGAGCGGCCTCCATCTTAGCTCCCTGTCAATCATTGTTATAAGCTTCGCTCTTTACACCTGGCAGTCAGTATAGAGAGAGCCGCCTCCATTTTAGCTCCCAGTCAATCATTGTTATAAGCTCCACCCTTTACACCTGGCAGTCAGTATAGAGAGCCACCTCCATCTTAGCTCCCTGTCAATCATTGTTATAAGCTCCGCCCTTTACACCTGGAAGTCAGTATAGAGAGAGCCGCCTCCATCTTAGCTCCCTGTCAATCATTGTTATAAGCTCCGCCCATTACACCTGGCAGTCAGTATAGAGAGAGCACACGGAGATGAGGAGAAATGAAACAATGTTACTATTTCTCCTCTTTTATTAGCAATGCGTACCCTGACTGTGCCTTGTCTGAGCTGGACAATGATGTAATTTGTTAAATCTTTTAAGGAACACTCTTTAAGGTTTCAGTTATTGCAAAAACATAATATACAGGGATATAAGTTTTAGAGAAATCTGACATTCTGGGGTCAAGACGGAATTTGTTCCTAATTTGTTGCAATATTGGAAGTGCTTCAAACTGGGTTTTTCACCTTCTTTTGGATCAACAGCAAAAACAGTTGCGAGAAAGGCTAAACTCTATAGACACATGTCTCTTTCCAGGCTAAGTGACTCGACCTTTCCGGTTTAAAGGACATTTGATTGAAGAATTCTGGTGGAATTTACTCCGCTGTTATTACAGCACAAAAACAGCCCAAATTGCTTGTTCTGATTTTCCACAATAAATATGACTCCCCTGTGTTTGTAGTGCTCAGAGTCAGCGTGTAGACTAGTGACAGTGACAAATTACTTTTCATCTGGTTTATTTAATAACATTAGCATGAATTTCAAATAAACTGAAAGTATAGTTGTCCACTTTGGCTATTATGACCTTAAATTTGAAATTCACCTTGAATTCTTCACTAGGGAGTAACGATGTGTCTTGTTGTGAGACCTAATGTGAGGGATGATAAATACTGTAATTTAGCCATGGGTTCTCACGCCCTTGTTTTAAATGATGTTTTTATTGTTGTAGGAAGCCATATTGAAGCGCTATGGTATCCATGGAAACCAGCTACGAATTTACCTTCATTATCAGCCTTCATATTATCACCTGCACGTACATTTCACTGCACTCGGACATGACGCTCCTGGCATTTCTGTGGACCGTGCTCATCTTCTGTGCGATGTGATCCAAAACCTAGAATGCAACCCACAATACTACAAAACACGAACATTAACATATGCCCTTAGGGCAGGTGAAGAACTCCTGGAAAAATATAGAGCAGCTGGAAAATGTTAAATGTTTTAAATGTTGATTGTGATTTTTTTTTTTTTTTTTATGTAGAAAAGAAAAATACAAATAAAACGTGACTTATTTTATTATGAGATGTCTGAGGTGTAAAGTACCTGTTTGTTTTTGAAGTTGAAGAATCAGACCTGTCAATGGACTGTGATGTGGCCAGGTCTCCAGTAATTACATACATGTGTATATAAAGCTTTATTTTTACAAAACAATGCGTGCAGGCCCAACCCAACAAGAACATCAACCTTTTTCACAATACCGTTGGGAAGAGCCTCCACCTTCAGGAACAGCCAGTAATTACACAAAAGTTAACAGGCCCCACTTAGGAAGAACAGACAGACAATCCATAAAACCCTCAGTAACAGCCCCCCACCCACCAGGAACAGCCAGTAATTCTACAAAACCGTTGGTAATGCCCCAACTACCAGAACAGTCAGTATTTCCACAACACCAATAACAGGCTCCACCCACCAGGAACAGAAATTCCACAAAACTGTTCGTAACAGGCCCAACTACCAGGAACAGTGGTAATGCCACAAAACAATTGGTAACAGGTTCCACCCAACATGAACAGCCATTCCATAAAACTAGTGGTAACATGTCTGCCCCACGCCAGCAAACAATACTATTGGTAACATGTCCCCCACGGTTCCACAATACCGTTAGTAGCATGTCCCCCCACCAGGAACAGCCAGCCATTCCATAAAACTATTAGTAACATGTCTCACCCACCAGGAACTGCCAGCAATTCCACAATACTGTTGGTAACATGTCCCACCCACTAGGAACGGCCAGCAATTCCACAATACCGTTAGTAACGTGTCCCACCTACCAGGAACAGCTAGCCATTCCATAAAACTATTAGTAACATGTCTCAATCACCAGGAACTGCCAGCAATTCCACAATACTGTTGGTAACATGTCCCACCCACTAGGAACGGCCAGCAATTCCACAATACCGTTGGTAACGTGTCCCACCTACCAGGAACAGCTAGCCATTCCATAAAACTATTGGTAACGTCCCACCCACCAGGAACTGCTAGCCATTCCATAAAACCATTGGTAACATGTCCCATCCACCAGGAACTGCTAGCCATTCCATAAAACCACTGGTAACATGTCCCACCCACCAGGAACTGCTAGCCATTCCATAAAACCACGGGTAACATGTCCCACCCACCATGAACTGCTAGCCATTCCAGAAAACCATTGGTAACATGTCCCACCCACCAGGAACAGCTAGCTATTCCATAAAGCCATTGGTAGCATGTCCCACCTACCAGGAACAGCTAGCTATTCCATAAAACCACTGGTAACATGTCCCACCCACCAGGAACTGCTAGCCATTCCATAAAACCACTGGTAACATGTCCCACCCACCAGGAACTGCTAGCCATTCCATAAAACCATTGGTAACATGTCCCACCCACCAGGAACAGCTAGCTATTCCATAAAACCATTAGTAGCATGTCCCACCTACCAGGAACAGCTAGCCATTCCATAAAACCATTGGTAACATGCCCCACCCACCAGGAACATCTAGCAATTCCATAAAGCCATTGGTAGCATGTCCCACCTACCAGGAACAGCTAGCCATCCCATAAAACCATTGGTAACATGTCCCACCTACCAGGAAAGCTAGCCTTTTCATAAAACCATTGGTATCATGTCCCACCCACAAGAAACCATGCGTGCAACGTTTTGGTTTTGTTTCTGATGCCGGACCGGCGGCCTTTTTTCCTTTTGATGCCAGATGTCAACAAAAGGATGCAGGACATTCTGAGTCATTCTGACATGTACATGCACCTTGTTCGTTTTTATCCATATTTAACTATAACTCCTATAATCCCCAGTACCCTGTAATTGACTTGTATACTGGTAGGGAATAATAGGAGTTTTGAGTTGCCACATGTTATATTACTGTTCTGCTATTCACACAGAAGGTTTTTATTTTATTTTTTATAAAGGAATTGAGAAATATTGTAACTGCTGGAAAAGCAAGCAATTCATGTATTCTACGATTTTATTTGTGCTGACATTTTGCACTATTCAGATGTCGCAGCCCACTTCTTGTTTTTCAGTACACAGTCAACGGTTTTCAGATCTCTACAAAACACACTATCAAACTATCTAAACACTGAACTTTATTTGCTAAACACTGAATTGTGGGGAAACAAAAACCACATTTGCACAAGTTCCGGCTAAAATTGACAAACTGGGCATGTAGGGGAAGTGTGAAATATGCCACATTTGTTTAATTTCTCTTATTTTGTGGATTTCAGTATTCACTGTTCAGGGGGTCACTAACTACACGCTATTTATCAGAAGGTAATTATTCCAGAGAACAAACCACTTTATCTTCTCAACCTCCACTCAGCATGCAAAGAAAGACACCCAAGTCTTGACTGGAACCACGTATTGTATTTATAAATAAGAGGTCTAGGGAATTTCTTCTAAGACATTATGGACTCGTGTCCCTGCTTGTTCCATTCATATAGTGACAAATTGGAAAGCGCTAAATCGGCTGTTACTCGCGATGTCCCACTTTCTGTGTTTTACGGATTGCCCTAAGCACAACTCCAATTAGCTTCATTCATAAAACACATGGATTAAGCTATTATCTCTCTTGTAATTACATCATTTTATTTTTTTAATCTGCAGGATTCAAAGTGAATTTTATATTTCATGTCAAGATAGCCAAACCATTGTATATAGAATATAGAATGCACACTAAAACAATCTCAAAAAAAACTTTGCTTTATTATGTACAAAAAAGTACCAGAGTGAAAACATATAAAAAAAAGATAAACAAAGTGACAGAAGCAAGGGCAAACACAATAAAACAATAGTAAATTACCACAAAAATTCTTACAAGCCTCCAGACAGAAACACGAGTCACCAAACCCCCCAACGTTTCGGCACCAACTGGCTGCCTTTATCAAAGGTACCCTGGTACTTTTTTGTACATAATAAAGCAAAGTTTTTTTTGAGATTGTTATAGTGTGCATTCTATATTCTATATACATTTGAATATTTAAAGCACTTGAGGGAGTGTTTATATGGTTTGCACCTGGCTGTTCTTATACTATTTTGTTTCTCCATGCTGTTGTTTTGAGAAAAGATAGCCAAACCATGCATCTCATACATGTTGGCTGTCAGAGCAGCAAATTATTAAGTATTGTCATTATTAAAGAACTACTCATTGATCAAGAAATGTCATTCTGTGTTTTGTCTTTTAAAGCCCAGGGCAGCAGAGGGAGAGTGGGAGGAGGAGACAACCAATTGTTATAGTTAGTCATCAATTTCTGAACCTCTGTCCCTTCACTAAGCTCAGATCAAGATTCATCCCCAGTGTTGTTAGAAACATAGAATGTGACGGCAGATTAGAACCATCCGGCCCATCTAGTCTGCCCAATTTTCAAAATACTTTCATTAGTCCCTGGCCTATCCCACGCATGCTTAAACTCCTTCACTGTGTTAAAGGATCACTATAGTGCCAGGAAAACATACTCGTTTTCCTGGCACTATAGTGCCCTGAGGGTCCCCCCACCCTCAGGGTCCCCCTCCCGCCCGGCTCTGGAAGGGGGAAAGGGGTAAAAACTTACCTTTTTCCAGCGCTGGGCGGGGAGCTCTCTGCCTCCTCTCCTCCTCCGATCCCCCCCGTCGGCTGAATGTGCACGCGCGGCTAGAGCTGCGCGCGCATTCAGCCGGTCGCATAGGAAAGCATTCATAATGCTTTCCTATGGACGCTTGCGTGCTCTCACTGTGATTTTCACGCAAGCGCCTCTAGCGGCTGTCAATGAGACAGCCACTAGAGGATTAGGGGGAAGGCTTAACTCCCTTCTGGCAAATTGCCTCAAAAAACGGCAGGACAACAAGAAAATCTCCAAAATCAGAACCAGCAAGGGAGAGGTCACGAACCACCCAGACGAAATAGCTCATGAATTTCTACAATACTATACCAATCTATACAACCACACCAAAGCCCCACACCCAACGGGAGACGTTACACAACAGGCGCACATCGCCGACTTTCTGCAATCCCTCAACTTATCCACTCTACCCACACAGGCACAGACCCTGTTGGAAGCGCCCATAGAGGGAGAAGAACTCGCCCAGGTCCTCAAAACGCTAAAACCCATGAAAAGCCCAGGCCCAGATGGCTTCACAGCCCTCTACTATAAAACGTTTCAGGCAATACTAATACCACACCTGTGCAACACCTTCAACTCTCTTCTACAGGGCCAACACCTCCCCCCGGACATGCTTGCTGCAGACATCTGCCTCCTGCCTAAGCCAGGGAAGGACCAACTGGACCCAGGGCACTACCGACCAATTTCTCTCCTGAATACAGACTTAAAAATTCTCACCAAAGCATTGGCCAACCGTCTCAATACGTACCTCCCTAAGCTGATACCCCCAGACCAGGTCGGCTTTATCCCCACGAGACAGGCATCGGACAACACGAGACGAGCCTTTAATACAATCTGGTACGCTCAGAACCAGGGCATTCCCTCGGTAATGCTTTCATTGGACGCAGAGAAGGCGTTTGATCGCCTTCTCTGGCCCTACATGTTTCAAACACTAACTCACCTGAAATTCCCGGCTGGATTTCTAAACGCTCTGACGGCAATTTACAACCGCCCCACGGGGAACCTCCTCTTACCCAACGTCACAGCCCAAACATTCGACATTGCGAATGGGACCAGGCAGGGCTGCCCTCTCTCCCCACTCATATTTGCAATTTCACTAGAACCACTTCTACAGGCCATACGCAACCACCCCGACATCCACAACATCCGAATTCGACAAGACACATACACAGTAGCGGCGTATGCGGACGACGTCCTCCTGACCCTCGCGGACCTCACGCACTCCCTGCAAGCCACCCTCAAAGTGTGCACACCAAACACTGGGCAACTACAGACGACTGGAAAACGCTTGCTAGAAGCTCACTAAAAGACGAACTGTATCACCAATTGATACCCCTTCCCCCTCCTTTTCTCTCTTCTGTACCCCCTCCCCCCTCCAAAAATGAGCATGGAATGAAATGTAATGTACTGGAAAATGTAAAAAAATAAAGAATTTATAAAAAAAAAGAAATACAAAACTAATTTCCTAACATTCTAGTGTCCCTTTATAACCTTCTTTATACACTTACTTGATTTCAGCACCGATGTCCCTCGTAGCTGGGTCAGGCTCCTCCAATGTCAGTTGATGGAAAGAACTTAATGCGCATGTGCGGCAAGCACCACGCGCACATTAGCTCTTCCCCATAGCATTGAATCAATACTTTCCTATAGGGATTTAGAAGACTCTGGATGTCCTCGTGCACTTTGTTTGTCCAGCATTGTTTCACAGAGCCAAACTCTGTTAGAGGCCAGAAAGCGCCTCTAAAACTGCTATGTTTGCAGCTGCAGGGCTACAATGACAGAGACACTGCATGGTTTGGGTGTCTATAGTGTCCCCATCACGTAGGGTACAGGAGACAGAGGTCTTTCATAAAGAGACCACACGGATTAGTTAGTGGAGGCTGTTAGAGTTAAATGGAGACAATGCATTTCAAAAACATTGAATAGGCAATAAAACATATAATTACCACAGAATATTTTTAATTTTCTAAATGTATACTTCCTTTAGCCATCTACTAAAAGTAATGGGTTTTGACATGTGTTCATTTACCTACCTAAAAAGACACCTTTATGCTGTGAAACATGGCTGCATACACATTTAAGCATTCTATTTTATGGCTGAACAAACACAGCATAATGAGGGTGAAATAATTTCCATAGTATGCCAGGCTATGCCTTGACTGCATTGTGCACACTAGAACTAAAGAAATATAGAACGCCTGTTCATTACGGTATATCTGTTGTACACCATCCTTAAGGCAATTATTAGAACTGTTGTACTTGCTATTTTTCTTGGTATAATTTAAAATTGTCAATGAAACCTTCATTACTAAAAAAAAAATCACAAAGGTGTAATCTGAACATAAAAGGAACACAACAATTGTTTCAATTACCGATAAGAATGTGGGAATGTCAGAGGGGACAGTTTCACTTTAAATATATGCTGTGGTGTGCTATCGAATATGTTGGTGCTTTATATATATATATATACTTCGAAAAGTAGGCGTGTAAAAGCATTTGGCACATGCTAAGCATTCCTCCTTCCTGCTAAAAATATGTACGTTAAGGATATGTATCAAACAGTCCTTCCTGCCCTCCATGAAATGTAAACGTTAACAGATAAGGAACCGATTTTGAAAAACTCTTGAAATAGGAACCCATCTGTTAACCAGCTGCCCTGTAACTGTCAGTCAGGGACCTGCACTTTGTGTCCACTGGCCAGAACAAACTTACTGACGTTACCTGTCACTAGTGAAACCTTGTACTTTTTCTGCTTGCAATCACGATGGTTTAATGTTCCACTACCGCGTTGCATGTTGGATTTCAAGTGCTTAAACATTCTGTGTTAAGATTCATTGAGAGACTTGGAACCAGGTCAATATATCCCTTTCTGTGTTGGTTTTTTTAACCGACGCCCGTCTCATAAGGAAACTCACACCCTTTCTTTGAATAGCCCTAGTATTTTTTCCAGAAATGGGATACAGTTTCATAACACACAAAGTCATGACTATTCTAGCAATGTATCACAGATTGTGTAAAAGCGAGCCTGCAACAAATCCTTAAAGCCTCCCCCACACTAAAAT